TTTATTATTTGGGATCTCTAAAAGAGAGGTTGCATGTAATTGTCTTCTCAGGCTCTTTCTAAATAGTTTAGAAATATCTGTTTATTAATGGGGAAGAGGTGATAAGAAATAGCAAATATTTTTAAAAAAGACATGCATAGTATACAAAGGCATGCGAGCCAGTTTGTGATTGAAGTGATTATACCAGGCTATTTCCTTTTGAATACATGACATGTTGCCTACCTTTCAAGGCAGCACAATGAGGACATAAGTGACAGATTAAACTTGCTAAGTGGAAATCACAAAAGAAATGGACATTTAAACATGAACGTTCTTGGAGCTATTATAGGTATCATAGGTATAATAGACTGAGCATAGCTGAGAATAAATACTAAGTTCATTATAGAGAACCAACAGAGTAGTTCATCACTGAAGTACATATAATGCTTCACTTTAAAAAGACAAAAAACCTCTTTTACTATTCACTCACTAAAATAGCCCAAATTCAGAGCTCAAATCACCAGATGGACATTGAATATTCTGGGGACAGAGAAGGCTGGTTACTTGTAGGGCTACTGGACTTCTTTAGGAATACAAACACATGCTGTTAAAATGGTTCTCTTCACCCACAGACGAGGCCAGCCCATGTTGTGGGCACCTCTGGGGTTATTTCTACTACATAAACCCCAGTAAGAGGGATGTAATATCACATTTATACAGTAGAGATGCACCATTTCTTCCATCAGAAGTTCCTGCATCCAAAGGCGCTGCAGAACATTTGATTTAGTAGAGATGCACCATTTCTTCCATCAGAAGAGTTCCTGCATCCAAAGGGGGTTATTCTATTAGGAAACAGAATTTGGCATAAGAAAAAGTGGAATAGCAACGGAAACATCTTTTGGGAAAAACTTTAAGTCTCTTTATGGCAGAGATGTATTTGCTAGTTTTTGAAAGTAAAAATTGCATTGGCAGCATATCAAAAGGTTTGCATCTGTGAAAATGCTTTTATCACAAAATTCTGTTCTCATTTGAACAACGTGAGGAAACCATAAGCCCATGAGGAATTGAGAGCTGAAAGCAGGTAGTGCTGCGAGCGCGTTCTTTGGGATGCAGGAGACGATCCAGCTACTGGCATCACATTTGAGGTAACGCTTTCTGAAGACCACTCACCTGAAAAAAGACTGTCAACAAATGCTAATTCCATTTCCAGAGGTCTCATTTCAATTTACTGATGCCATGACAGTACAAAATCCTTATCAGTTGTCTAACTCTTTTTTTTTTTTTTTGTTGTTGTCATTTATTGCAATCCTACAGCTTTCTGGAGGGGTTACTTCCATTCAGCTAAAGGATCTACAACACACTGCTGTAGTGTATCAACATTCACCTAAACATCACATATTTTTATCTGAAGTTTTAGGGTTTTTTTGGTTTGAAGTTTGTCAGAAACATTATACAAAACACTTATTTTCATTTTTTGCATTTCTGCTCCTCTGCAGAAACCCAGGATGAAGCCCTGGGGAGGTAAGGGGACAGACACCCAGCCTAGATGAGTTGATGCAGTCCAGGATTTGCTATGGCACCGAGTCACAGGTTAGTCACCAGGACTAACACAGAAAACATGATTTTTACATTGTATTAACTTCCTCTGTTCTTATTACATAATTTTATTATCACTCTTGTGAAGGGATAAATGTTTCTGTATCTGGCAATCTAAATGATCAGTGTTTCTTGTGTTCTGGTTTGAGAGAGCAGGATTGCTGCACTTCAGATTATCAGGAGCTGCTGATTTAGCCAAGGCACCACGCTTAAGAAAACCGACTCAGTAACAGACATTTGAGCTCGGAAAAGAACAGAAAGAACAGATCAGGAGATATGAATAATGAAGATTTCTTAAGAGATGATCTAAAGACATTCAGTGAGATGTATGATGACATTTAAATTTACATTTTTACATTACTTACATCAGAAAGGCACTGCAGCCTCTACAGATTTGGGCATCTTTTGGGCAATCAGAAGGGATTGTGAATATGCAAATTTAACAGATAGAGGATACCGGTATATCATTTCAAGAAACAGATTCTGCTGTGATCACAGAATAAATTCTATAATACATAATATAACCTTAGGAGAAGTGGGGGTTTTTGTGGTTTCTGATGAAGATAACACCATAGTGTCACTTAGTTAAACATATTTGGCAATAACAACGTAGCCGATCATAATATTTGTAGTCTATTTGGGCAGGACTGTTAATTACTGAAGTATCATGTCAACTTCCCTTAGGGCAATCTGGAAAGTTCAAACAATAGAATTAGCCTGTAGGCTGCAAACTAAATTAATTAATGGTTATGCTTATGTTCCATACAGCAAGAGAAAATTCCATCTTATATATTCTTTAGTATGAGGTATGGAAGCAGAACAGCACAGCTTTCTTCCCTTGGCAGATGCCAACCTCTGTTGTTTACGTACTCGTGCCACCAGGTCAGACAATGTCATTACTTCATGAAGTAGAGAAGTAATTGCCAAATGCCAGAACGTTACCTAAAGCACAAAACAAGAATCCCAAAGGGTAATATAATTTCACAAGGGCCCTTGAGGAAGGGTACTTTTGTTTATCTCTGCATTTGAGAAAATTTTGGAGAAAGGCAAGGTGGAAAAAATCATTTAAATAAAGAAAAAAATTTGCTAGTTGTAGCAAATAAAAGATTGGGTTTCTATATTAGGTTTCCTGAGAAAAATGGAACCCATTTATAATATCCCTGAGAGGACAGCACCTCTTCTGCAGCCATCAGGGCAGTCTCTGCCACCTTGAAGAACTGGGCAGGGCCAAGAATACGGGAGGAAGCTGAAGTCCCAGGAAGGGCTCAGGGACGTTGCCCACCAGTACGAGGAAATGGTTTTCCCTTCCAGGCCCAGGTGGGATGTGCACTGCTCTGAAACACCCCTCTCCAGAGCTGACAGCAGGGTTTGTTACAGACATTTTCCTACATGGCTTCTAATATACCACACCCAACTGGCTTTTGGACAGCCCAGACACACATTAGTACAACTAAGGAGAAATTTGACTTGTGAGTTCAGGTTTTTTAGGACTACTGGAGCTTTTTCAACAAGAACAATCCCTGGTGCTTATCTAGCAGATATATGCAAGACAAAGTCACGGTCAAGTTCATTGTTTAAGTGGCATAACCAAATAAAGACTTACTAAAGATTTATGATGTTTAAATGACACGAAACCTCACCTCGACCAAATTATACCCTGATTTTGGCTTTGACAGGAATATTTGCTTCCTGTGGGAGATCATGTTCTAGCATCAAGCACGGATTGCATCCCTGGCTGAGCAATCTTGATAGAAAAGGATGGTACACATAGCTGGAATGTTAGTCTCAGATACTGAAAGATTAAATCAGAAAAGTCTCTTCAAATGGATTTTTAATTTCAAGAGATTGCAGTTGGTTGTTTTAAGAGGATTTACACATTTAACTGATTCAAATGTATTAAAATGTGTAAAACTGAGTGGCAAGGTTGTAAGAAAATTGGACGTATTTTTCTAAAATGTGTTATAAGGAAAGGTTCCTCACGCCCATTTAGATCAGGAGTCATTTTGCCATTGGCTGTGACTGGGAGTAAGAGTGGGTCTTAAATGGGTAACAGATTGGAAGTACAGGGCTAATTAGTGATGTGAGCTAAGTTTTTAAACATGAAGAGAAATGCTAAGACCTTTTTCACATTGTCATGCTGTGCAAAGCAAACCACCTCGCATTTAGGATGCTTAATTCAATTTGTGTTACACTACTGATGATTATGAAATGCATTTTGAAGAGATTTGTTTCATCTTCTCCTGTGAGTGCAGAAAACATACAAAGACTTATTTTCTACATGGAAGTAAAAATAAAGTAGAGACACGCTTCATGAATGCTATAAGAGAAAAAGATATATAATGAAAAGAAAAATATCAGGATATATTTAAGCAGACTTAAGAAATTAGGTTTTTCTAGTATCATTTAACAAAATGGTGCCAACATTTTTCTTGGTTGGAACAGGTAGAATGAAAAATGAAAACAGCATTTTCTCTTTATTTGTCATTTCATAACTGTTACTTTTACACTCATGCACATACACCTCACACATACATCTTCCTATTAGTAATGGACTAAACAGGGATATCCTTCATTATCATTTCAATTAAGAGAAATAAAGAGATTGAATTTGACTAAATTCCTGACAGGGTAGTGTTTTATTACCAAAAAAAAAAAAACAAGTTGGAAAAACCTTTGCTGAATACTCAAGTAAGTGCAAACACACAAAGCACTACCTACAGCATTCTTGTGATCATTCCTACCTCCTTCTCACATGACCTTCAAATCTATCTGTGTGCCAAAGAAAAGGATCAGGGTGAATTTATTGTTCAACACTATTTAATGGGTCTTTTTTCCCATCACGCATGAAATTCCATTTCTGTAGTGCTACAAAATGACATTATGCCCTTCCAGAAGTGCTCTAAAGCTTAGTGATACAAAGTGCCCTTCTGGGCTCTGCTGACCAAGCACATTCTGCTTTCTAGTACAAGTGCCTACCTGGAATGCTTTGGAACCTTTACAGACACAACAAACAGCCTTAAAAGGTGTTTCCCTCAGGGGATTGAGTAGATACTTAATTTTATGCTCCCACCTATACCCAGTCAATGCAGGATCAACATTTATTTATCAGCATAGTTTCATATTTTCACCTGACACCATATCTCTGGAATTTCAAATTAATAAAAATAAAACAGGCAGTAAATCCATCCTTTCATTTTATTTAAGCCAGTGAGCTGTCTTCAGGATATGCAATCAGTATTCATTTTACTTTGTCCTTATCTACTGTAAAGTTATTGGAAACAGCTTAAGAGAAATAACGAAGGTACCATTAAGCATATTATCTCCATTGTAATTGCAAAGGGACAAACTGTTAAAGTAACTGAAAGTCAACAAAACAATTCAAAACTAAGTTGTTCAGATACACATTGTGTATGTTTTATATTTACCTTCATTTTTCTTGATGGTGAAATTTGGATTGTTGACCATTTCAGGAAGAAGACTGTATAGGAAGTAATGCCCATTTTTAGGATCATCTTTGTCAATGGCACTGACAATCTGAATTACCTGCAACAGAAAATGCTCTTATTAAGTATTCACACTCCTGATAAACATACAGTATTGGAAAACCCATTACATTCTATTGGACACATTCTCATTTGTCTACATGCCAGATTAAAAATGCTAATTTATAATCTTGCAAGGCTTTTACAGACCTTAGACTGAAAGTCTGGGGAACAGGGGCTGCATCTGGCCCATTAAAACTGTTTCCAGAACAAAGAGGCAGAGAATAAGGAGAGACAGGCACAGAAGGGAGGCCAGGAAAAACTGCTCCTGGTTAAAGCAAGTAATAAATTATTATTCAGCAATAAAGAAGGAGGAAAACTGTGTTTCAGAAACACTCACGATGCCCATGGTAGTCTTCCATTCATATAGCTGTGCTTCTCACTGGACCAAAATGTACAATCTATTTTTAATTTTTTCTTCTTTCCCCCACCACCATATTTTATTTCATTGAATAGTATTTTTTTTAAATTAACTTTTTCTGCAAAGTTTCTATGATAAATAATCTAATCTGAAAAAATCTGTCTATATTTGTATTTTTTCCTTGATTTTAATAAAACATCAGTTATTCCTGTACTAGGAAGATAGGTTTGTTTTAAAATTATTACCAAACAATTCCCAGAACAACACAGGATACTAAGGTTAGAAGAGAAGAGTGTTTGGACAGTCTGGATAACTGTGAATAATCAAGTAACTTTGTATGAAGCACCTCATATGATTCACATGACCAACTCTAGTATCTGTAGTCTGTTTACCTCCATTTACCTCTTTTACTTCCAAAATAACTCAGAAAGATACTGCAGCTGATCATCTTCAAATCATACAGAGCTGCACAGGAATATGAAGGCAGGAAAACATTATTTTAAAATAATAAGGAGGTTCGAATTTTTTGAAAATATTGGGTGCAATTACTTTTTATTCCAAGTATTTTCTAGAGAAGTAGAAACAAAGACAACTATGACTCCAGATCCTGCACTGAGTTGGATTTCACTGGTAGTTAGCTCATGCTAGATGAGGTTTGTAAGAAATTTAATGAGAATTATTGACCTTTCCCATGCCCATTGAATTCAATAACATTTTTGTCTTATGTAGTTATTTTTGTAAAGCCTAAAGCAACTGACCAATAATTTCTTGGACAATTAAATTCAAATTAGGAATCACTACAAATTTCATTTTTAAAGAGTGGAGTAAAAAATGGAAACAGGGTGTGATGCTGTCCAAATTCATAGACTCACCTTAGATTTTCAAAGCTTCACCAACAAAATGCTAATGACTAATATTTTATACTGGTTTTTCCACAAGGGAAAGGACTATCAATCTGTATGTGTTACATATACAATAACAGTCAATATTCCATTCTTTCTTCTGTGTTCTTCAACAGTCAAAAAATAAAATCTAGTTAACAACAAGGAGCAACATCAAAACATAAATATTTGAAATTAGATATGCAAAAAGATGTTTGAGCAGGTATTGATATAGGCTTTTAGGTTTTGTAAGAAAACCTAGGAAGGAATCTGAGACAACTAATTCCTTGCCTAATCATATTCTGGATAGGTCAGATTTATTATCAAAAATCTACTGGAAACATTTTTAGATTAATTACCACATAAACAGATTATTATTTTTTATAACCGCATCTGCCAAGGTAAAAACCTTGACTGATAGGATTTCAAACACATATATGAGAAGAGATGGACAGAAAAAGGCCTTCCTTTGCTGCAAGAAGTAGCTACACAATGGAACCTAGAGAGCTATGCAGTGTGAGGAAATATAGAGAGCTGAAAAATATTGAAGCAGATGTTGTCTGTCCCACTGCAGAGACAGAGCCATTTACAATGTGGAACATCTTCAGCTTTCTCTTTGCAGAGGTGTAAGGTACCAAACGATCTACGTGCATGGGGCAGAGGGCTGGAGGGGGTACTACTAATTCTGTATCACAGGTAAGTGCAATTCAGAATGGAATCCTGAACAAGTATCTTTAGACAGATATATTTTATGATTGCTCCATTTTTCAAACACTGCTAGAACAGGGGAAAAGGATAATGGCAGAGTGAAGTCTGGAAGGCCAACTGGTGCAGTTCATCAGATGGTGATGCAATTTTATCTCTACTGGCTACAAAACTGTTAATTCTTTCCAGTGTTATGTAAGAGAACTGACTATAAAAATTTGCTGCACTGTCTCTAGGTTTTCAATTAATATACCTGAAAGCCAGTAGCCAACAGCATTAGTAATATGGGGTTTCAGTTCACAGAAATTTTATGAAATAAGCTTAGAATATCATCTAGATTGGAAATTTTCAACAAATAGAAATTGCGCATCTTCTTTGTCCTTTGTTTTCCCCCCCCAGGAACTACAGATACCTCTTAATGTCCTATAGAATTATATTAAAAAAATTACATTTCAGTTCTTTCCATCCATTCCTTCCATTGTTTACCAAATCATTCTCTGAAAATGTACCAAAAATTATATGCAAAAGACAGGCTTAGTGGAATACTACATTTGTTGTGTTACATGCACACATCAAGGAATTAAGAGTTAGTGTTCCCATAGCAACCTTATTTCTTTGTGCATTTGCATTAAAATAAGCTCTTAAAAAAAAAAAAAGCAAAGCATAACATATATACGGTGATACAAAGCTGCTCTATCTTCTACTCCATAGGGGTGAAAAAAGTCCAGGAATTCTCACTACCACTTTTTTACTAGTTTGCTGATGAGCACACTTTATTGCTCAGCGTTGTGTGATCAGGGAATGGAACACCATCAAAGTCATTCTCCAACTCTTCATCTGTAGTTTGTAACATGGTAGAGAACCTTCCAGGGCTGACCTGACTCCCCTAGCACTACAGATGATCTTTCTTTACTATAATAACACGTGTAACAAAGGTGTTCCATAGAACAAAATCAGTCAATATCAGTAAAAAAGAAAACAAGAACACATTTCTCCACTGTATATCCATGAGCACTACGGTGAAACTTAATAACCCTTTGGGTGTTCAATCTTAAAATTTTTGAAATTCTTCCATGTAAAATTTCAACTTCGATGTTGCATTAAAAATTCATGCATATATTTGATTCTGTACATACATTTAGCAGAAGCATAATAAATCAGCGTATTTTGCTTAACAGGCAACTCTGGATAGAAATTAATTGTTAAATGATCCCCTAGGACAACTCGGCGTTACAGTCTGCAGGTTTGTATTGCATTGCTCCACAGCCATATGACTGAGATAGAATTTATAAAAGACCAGCAGTATAATCGTAACGAATGATGTAGAAGGGTAAAACAGAAACAAAGTCCTTATCAATGTATCAATGTATCACAACTTTCTGTGTGTGATTTTAATACATGATACTGCTTACAAGACCTTCCCTGGAATGCAACTTACTAACCTCACTCAAAATGGTTCCTTACCACTAGTAAGGATAATAGTAACTTTATTAAAATTGTTCTTCCAACTCTGAAAAGCCCTTTGCAGTTACACTGGTGTCCATGGTTAATTCTGAATCACTTTGCAGACTCATAACACTGTAAGCAGTGGACTCATCACAGAACAATTTTAACTTTGCCTTTTCAGCCAGAGCCAGCCCTTTTACTGCTAGAACCTGCATTTTGCCGTTTGAATGAGCTTGGACTCTTCAGAGAGACAGAGATCTATCTGAAGATTTCTTCCATCAGCAAAAACCCATTCTACTGGGAGAACTGAATCAAATAGAGACAAATTGCGAGAGACTGGGGGAGCGCTGTACTCAGTTCTATATTGCTCTAGTTTGACCACAGGCCTGAGCGCTGATACATCATTGTCTGCACTACTTAAATGTTTGAAAAGTTTGCAGCTTTGTTTTGAGCCAACAGCACTTCACTGTGAGTCTGGGGATGGACTGGGGAACAGCGAAAGAGGCACTTTTCTCACTCAACAATGCAGATGTTCTGTTCTAGCAGTACAGGAAAATAATTCAGCTGGGCTGGAGAACGATCAGCTGTACAGCTACAGCCAGCAAAACCAGGAATGTTCCAGCTTTGAAAGTGGAATTATGAAAAAAAAAAAAAAAAAAGGAATAATAGAGAAAGGCATAATCTGATTTATGTTTAACCTAGAGGTACTGTAACACTACATTCCAATCTTTTTTTTCCTTAAAACTGACAAAAAGCATTTCTGGCAACTTTCTGTTGTGTTTAAAGATGTGCAAGGAGCACAGAAATAGGTGCCTGGACAAATACATTTCCTCCTCCTCTCCTTTCCTCTCCTACCTGTAGCACCTCCACTGTTAGAGGTAGGTTAAAGCACAGAAAATGCACCTGGCAACGTTATACATCAACAGTTTTTAATACATTCTGTCACATCACCAGCAGCTGCACTTGCCACTTGCAATTATATCAGAACCCAAAATAGAACACTTAGAAACTGAACTGGATGAGATGGTTCAATATATTTAGGGGCTGCAAATAAGGTTTCATAAAAGGTTCAAATGTAATCTCCCTTATGGTAATTCAAATTTGATTTAAACTTAGATTTAAGCTGAACTGCAAATGTAAATAGACTGGAATACCATAACACAATTGTGCCATTCCTGCACATGGAACATTCAAGTTTAAACTTTGGAGAAATATCCAAATTAGGCTTTTGCTACTATGTAGGAAAGTAGTGTCTGTCTCCTATTTGCTACTTCATAGCTGAGACATACTTAATTTTTTAAATTCTACATCTTGACTGATTAATATGATTTCTTCCAAAATGTGAATATAGAATAATAAGCATGAGAAAAACCAATCACGTAGCGTAGGTACCAAAATCTTTACAGGAGCAAATAATTTTTGAATGACAACTTAAATTTAGAACCTAACCTTGGTAATTATTCTGGACTGGTTACTGTTCCAATAATGCTATTTGTTTAAAACACAGAATAAATTGCAGGATCAGTGCCACCTCATCCATGCTGGCAGTCAAATATTTAATAACCATCTGTAAAGTTCACACAGGGATTCATGCTCAAGAGTGACATCTGCCATCAGATCAAGAGTATAAAAGGTGATGGTAAAATGAAGAATATCATGGTTTAATGAAAGTTTTCCATAAGTACTTAAACAAAAGCCTCTTCTACCAGCTGACTCTTAATCATCTCATGTATTGCTTTATTCCAAAATGAAATGCGAACATTTTTCACCATCTCTTAAACCACCTGAAATTTGATATGAATATCTAGATGCATAAATTCAGAAAACACTGTGCAACCAGCTTTCTGATTTCAGGGAAGCTTACTGAGCCCTGGATAAAGTATAAATTCAGAAAACACTGTGCAACCAGCTTACTGAGCCCTGGATAAAGGTATACTCATTAGTATTTAATATATCCTTGAAAATGTAACTACTCAGCATCTGAAATCCACCCTGAGCTAAACAGAAATCCACTCTGAGCGAGAAGAACTTAAAATACCAGCAGCAACATAACTGTCTGCCCATAAGGGCACATTTCAATAATCTGTTCTTCAGTGGTTAGACAGAATTCTCATTTCTTACATAAGACATTTTTGACACCTTTCTAATAAACAAAAAGGGGTGCTAGAAGTCAAGGCATGTTCTGTAACAAACCAGTTGTGGCAGAAGCAGGTTGTCATACACTACTAGATAGGTTGTCTTTTAAATACTATTAAAGGAAAATAATTTCTAGTTCTGTTGTCAGGTAACCTTCTTTGGAGAAAAGTGAATTTAATGCCGAACACCCACATGAGACACAGGCATAGTTGGATTAACAAGACTAGTGTCATGCTGTCAGCTGCTGTTTATTTAAATAAAATGTCACAATCTAGAAATAAATTAGAAAGTTTAAAAACAGTGAATTGTTGAAACATACAGTGTTTCTTAAGCTAGTTAAAATGTTAAATCTCGTTTGCACTGCATTACTTTCTAAAAGTCTGTATATTTTCTTGAATCTTTCTTGTCATTTATGTGGCATATGAGATATTCTTCCCTATTTCTGTACATTTGTGCTTCAAAATGGATGCTTTTTAAGAAATCTGTTTAATTTTCTTTGAAAAAGGCTATACAGGTTGCTATGATATCTTGCTATGTTTATTTCACCTTGTAGAGTGTTGTGTAAATTACTTTGCCAACCCTTTTATTTCATTAAATCAAGAAGCAAATAACCTGTTAATTTTTTTTCTTTTGGTGAAGTGTGATGAAAACATGAACTCCCCTTCTCCAACACCCCATCCCTCTTTAGATATTTCACATGCAGCTACAATTTCCTTGACTGTACATCAAGTTCTGGTTTGTTTTCTTGTTTTTTCAAATTTGTCATAGAACAGTAAGAACTAAATAAATAGAGATTATACCTGAGATATGGATAAGGGGAAATGGTTTTATTGTTTTAAGTAGTTCTTCTAAATTGTACGTGGACCAGCTACAATATAGTTCAATAACTCAATTGGAATTTAAGTTGGATTATACTTTTACCTATTAACACACAGGAACCTATGAAGCGATGAGCTCCATCAGAGTGGAAACAGTGGGAGCTTAAAGACACTCAGCATTTTTTCTGGATATTGTCCCAAGATATCTAACCTTTAATTTAAAGCCTATACTTCAAAAACATATATATGTCCATATATAGAGAGATGTATCATCACCGAATATGATCATAGATTTATCTTAAGTGAATGTTCAGAGTTGTTAACATGAACACACAGGCACATATTTTGAGAATGAAGATCAAATGAGAGGGAGAAACTGCTGCCCATCCTCACACACCAGGGTACACAACACCAAGGAGATACTTACTTGGCCAGGCTTCCCATTCTCACATAAAAAGGCTTCATGCTCTGATGCAAACTCAGGAGCGTTATCATTTACATCAAGAACTTTGATAGCAACAGGCACCCGGGACACTTGACTGTGGTTCCCTAAGAAAAGAAATCAAAGCATAAAAGCATATTTAATGTGGGACTGATCCATAAATGCTCACAGAGTAACCATACTCTTCCTGTCTTCTGTCCTTGCTTAATTGGGTTGTCTTATCTATAATGGATCGTAGAGTTGGAACATGAGATAAAGAAGAATGGCCAGGATTTTATGGTTGAAAAGAATAAATAGATCCCTATTGCAAACAGCATTTGTTGGAGATTAGCTCAATGAAGACCTTTCTGGGACTAAATTGGTGAGATTTTTCTTTGATGAAGTTTGTATTGTTTTATTGATAAAGTCCATTATACATGGAAAAGGGAAGGCTGTAAACAACATAGATTTATTTCTTTGTTTATCTTTGGCAGAGCACAGAGCATTTTACTCTATTAGTTGTTCTGACTGCACATCTATTATTTCTTCATTACAAATACGATTAATGCGGAGACCCACATTGTGAGAAAGATAGATGGTAGATTGACACAGGCACAACTAGATAGTACTTTGGGCTATTAAAGCACTTGGGTTCATCTGCCACTGACCGAAAATATGACCTGTGAACTTCTTTCTTCACCAAAATAAAGCCTTGTTATTTATAACATAGAGCTATTTTGCATAGAAGTGTTTATCACTGTAAATAATAAAATAAGGTGGTTAAGCTGTAAGGAAAGGAAAGCTAAAGCAACAGTTCTCATTCTGTGCTGAGCAGATTTCACAGTCAGTTTCTAGTGTCTCTTTTTCAATTCAGTATAGCTAATTTATTTTGAGAGATTATTCATAAATATTTTAGGTTATTTTTTCCCAAAGAGCAAAAACATGAATTCAGTTTAAACTGAGGTGATCAGCCGACCTGAAGAGTTCAAAGCACAATTCCATAGCACCTGCAAACCTCAACAAGTACCTCAATAGTAGGTTCAAAATCCATCTCTTAGTGAGTATTATTTTACAACCATAGTATTTTACCGTGTTTATATCATCAACAATTTGAAGAACTGCACATTGTGCAAATTAAACTCTGGGTCTGAGTAAATGAACTACGTGCTTTTGCCTAAATAATTACTGCAGGCAGGAAAGCTGCTACTGTCAGTCAGGGCATCAACTCCCTCACAGTTGCTGAGAGAGCTTTGCAGCTGCCCAAGGCTCTCCTCAGTCCACAAGGGTGCTGTTTGCATCTAAGTTACTTGTTTCATGACCTAATCAAACTCCACCTCTTGTGTCCTTTATTTTTTTTTTGTTTAATTGTATGTTTAAACTTCAATTGCTATACTAACACTAATTTGAAATAGTGTAAAAATAACTATTTCAAAAGACACAAAACCAGGCTTATCACCAAATGCGCTACTGCTAAAAGCAAAGATTTTATGTTTGCTGGAAAGCCTGAAATATTAAAATTCTACCTGTATAAGTATGGAAGATTACAAGACATCAGAATTTAAATGCTTCCCATTTGAAGGAGTCAAAAGTTTTAGTTCAAAAAGAAACATGTTACAGAAGAAAAATAAATCTCCACCAAAATACTACTCTTACAGTATTTATGTCCATTTTGCATCATATGATCTTCCTTCTTAACAGGTGAGTTGAACACTTAGGCCATGAAATAGTAATGTATTGAAATCAAATAAAAGTTAATATGCAAATCCCAAATATTTTAAACACTTTTTAAATCTTAACTTGATAAAAACACAGACAATGAATCTTGAGCTTATCAGAATTCTCAGCACTAGTGTCATATTTAAACACTAAAGATTTACTTTTATCTAAAATAATGAAATGATGGCAGTTCAAATTTTAAAGACATTACAGAGAAATGTAATTAATTAGATAAGCTTCTAAAGAAATTATTCATGTCCCTTGTGACTGTCCCCAAAATGTTTGTCTTTCATCAGAAATACAAACATTACATTTAAAGATATTATAATTAGAAACTTGATGAGAATTCATTAAAAAAATTAATTTACTAAACACAAGAGAGACCCAACTGGTTTGGAAATCTCCAAACAAGGGGATATCCGCCGCCTATTAGGGTTCTTGTGACTGTGATGAAATTTATTGTTGAGAGAGTGAGATGGAGAGGGAATTTTATCTACTGCTTGTACTGCCCACCACACTGCATACATTGCATTATTTTGTCATTGCAAACTTTTCAATGAAATTTCACTTTATGCAAAGTGTTTTGCCTGTAACTAAAACTCACCCTAAGCTCACCTAGTCAAACAAATTAACGAATTCTCACTAAGGAAATCCAGATTTCACCTCTGGATGAAAACTCTGAGAAGATAAAATAGTTTCCTCTGTCCATTTTCATACTTTTAATGTCTGCAGACTTCTCAGGGGTAAAATATTTAAACCCTCTCGGGTTTAAATCCCTCTGTCAGCAATGCCCCTGACCCTTGAACCACAAGCAGTGGCAGTGGACCCACTGATCCACAGGGCACACAAACTGTTATGTTTGCACGGGCACCGGTCCTTCAAACAGCTGGGCTGCATACTCATTAGTATTCAATGTTCCAAACATTTCCTCATTTGCATGAATAGAGAGTTAGTTCTTTCTAAACTAGTGATGAAACTTGAGTTTCAATTGTTATTTGGTTTGCCTTTTTTCGCAACGAACCACCCAGTCAACAGAATTAAGGGAGACTGAATCTTCTTGCATGTGCCACACAGATAGTGAGACTGATTGCTTAAGTTCAATCAATTATTTTATGCAAAATCACAAAAAGTGTAAGGTTAGAGACTCTCTAAGGAACTAACCAAATTTGTAAAAGCTTCATCACCTGTATCTATTGTGATGCACAGTTTAAAAAGAGCTACCTTGGAACTTGCATACACATGTACCATTAAGACTGTCACTTGAGCAGCACTGCCTTGGTTTGAAAATTTAGCACTCTGAAGTGCAAGATTAAATAAAAAATGGTGAAAATTTACACCAGTCTAGTCTACCAAAACTCTTTTTAGAGTAAGGCTGCACAGAAGCACTTAGTTTTTGATTTCAAATACATTCAATTGTTCATCTGGGGACACCACTGCCACAGCAGAGCATGTAGCTTAACAAACACATATGCAAATTGTGTACATAATTTCCTAGAAGTAACAGCTCTTTTCTGTCTCTGCTGAAGTCTCAATTACTGCTCGCAGCTCTACGAGCCAGCAGCCTGCTGTAGATGAGCACAGCACACACAGAAAGGAACATCTAGACAGATAGAAGGAAAGGATGTCTCAATGTAAAAATAACTAGCGGAGCTTACTTGCTATGATAAATAAACTTCCAAAAATAATAAAGTCCAGCTGAGTTTAGAAACGCATATTGAAAGGGTTACAAGAATTTTAAAGACCTAAAAAGCTCTTCTCTCCCCAGTTCTCAGAATTCTGCTGGAACATTAAATACTTGAAATACACACCTCGCTGGTACTCATCTTCAAGTAACATACCTATTGAAACACTCAGGATTGAAAAAGGCTGCAGAGTTTCATACAAAAATGAAGAGGTAGATGAGAGACTCAAAGTCAAATTTTTAAAAACCCCAACATTATAAAGGCATTTAGCATCTCCAAACATGGAATTCTGGAGGCTACAGACTGACGCTCCTGTGATCAACACATTCCTTTCTGAAAATCCCTACATATCTGAGATGTGTATCATTAGAGATCTGCAATGCAAACCACCGAGCACTGTGAGGTTGTTACTGCACGCAGCCAGTAATACTAGGATCACTACAGTTTATAAATCAAATTTTCGTCTTGTGCCATAACTAACAGAACACAGTCCAGCTATTCAACTCCCATACACACTTAAACACTTCATAAACATGCTTCCAACACTTCTCCATTGGCTTTTCTTGACAGACAGACATACAAGTGGTCTCTAAGAGCAGTGGTCTTTAGGAAACAGGATCATTGGCTGCACAAAATTAAGTTCATCATTTAACCCAAAGAAATCCTGTTTAATCCGGTTTTCCTTTATTTAATTAAATAACCCCAAATCACTTCAAGGTTTTAAAGTACTCAATACCTAAACAGAAAGTAGACTCCTAGAAAATAAGACATCTTTTATTATTATCATCATGACCACATGGCTTGGAAACGGCTATTTCATGCTTCTCCAATTCAGTGCAATTCCTACTATACTAATATTTAAATTAGAAGTAGAGGAAGTCCTAGTTCTATCAGAGAAATCAAAACAAAGTCTGAATCACTGACTTAATAAAAACAACAGCATTTGTTTTACCTCCCTTATATTTCAAAATTATTAAGTTGTATTTTAACAGATCCAGTTCCCATGACTTTATCAAGGTTTTACCTGATGACTTCACTAAGATAATCTGCACACAGGACAAGTTTATTTCTTCTGTTAGAGTTTATGTTGTTGTTTTCTTCGTGCAATCCTTTAGCTAAACAACACCACAGCTTATAACAATTCTTTTTTGCCATATAAAACTGACAAATCACACTTCAGGAATCCTGAGCAACGGAGATGCTATTGTGAAACTGAAATGTTATTTATGTTGAAGGATAGAGATCACATACCAAAGCTAAAACTGTGTTCATTTCCCAGACGTGTTATGTCATGATAACATGACAGAACATATGCTATTTGTGAATTAGGATAAAATTCAAGCAACCAAACAAAAAGCCCAAACAGGATTGGTCAACATGAAGATTTAGATCCCCCTTGAAACTCTTGTATTTTTAAAGGATAAGAAAATACAAAGAGTTGTGGACTATCTATAAAGTAATATAAACGTATCAGTGCGTAGCAGAGAGGCTTCTGAACAAGTTGCTGGGCCAAGAACCAAACACTGCCTCAGAACTAATGTTCCATTTATATTTATTTCAGCACACTGGAACATATTAGAGGAGTACAGATTGTGGCGAGTGTACATGTGTGTGGGAGGGAGGCAGAGAGAAAAAGATGTGAAACATATTTCTCGGGTTTGTTCCTGAAGTCATTCTTTGGGAGAAAAATAGTAATGGAGTTGAAAAGTTTGGTCTCCTTTCAGTAGATCACTGGCTCTATTTGATTATGGTCTCCAGAAGAAAGATGAACAAGTCAACAGCAAAGCTATGTTACATTCTATTTTTATCTCCTCACTGTCACAAGTTTAACCAAGGACTTGCTCAACAACTTCCAGCCCCTTCATTTTTGTCCACTTTTCTACCTCTTATTGCCATGAAAAAGATGTCAGACTCTTGCAAAACGCACGCTGCCACGGCCATGGACACCCCAGGAGAGCCATACGTACCCGCTGACCAGGCGGAGCGCCAGGAGGGGATTTCCACTGCGTATCCTGGAAAGAAGGACAAGGAGGAGGGGAAACTGAGGACATGCTACATTTTCAAGTCCTTGATTTCAAAGCTTGAATTTGCAGTTAAGAGGTTTCCAAAGTTGAGCAACTCCATCTCTAATGAGGTAAGACAGGCCACAAACACCTGCCTGTGTGCCCTGTGTACGATGTATGGTTTGAGGCTAAAGGCAAATTCTGCTTTTAGGTCGCTGATAAAACCAAATGAAAAAAAAAAAAGAGCACAATTTCTGTGACAAATGCACAATCCATGCCAGAAAATGTTAATGAAATAAAGCTCTATTCTTTAGGTCCTGTTCAGACAGTTTTCACTCACTATATTTTCTATGGGGTTTTCTTTTTTGTTGCATTCGTGCATGTAAGACATTAAAATTGTTTAATGGAACCCAGAACTGATAAGAACTTTGAATCAATCACCTAAAATTTGCTGAAAAAATGAAACATAGCTGCAAAAAGACCAAATGCATCATTTTTGCATCATTTTTTAGAATCAGTGACACTCTACCTAAGCCTGCCCTGAGTTCTCTGCCTGCCACTGCAGCAGCAAAGGAAAGGGAACGGGGCACATCCCTGTCTCCTCGGGGCCTGATTCAGCTTCTCCTGCCGTCAGTCCCATCGCTCCTGCTCGGGAAGTCTCATTTAGTCCTTGTCCTTAATAATATAAAACGTAAATATAATTTACATTAAAACAGGAACTTAACTGGGTGTTTTGTTAACTTTACAGTATCAGCACTGATTTATAAAACTTGATAATCAAATTCTATTTCTAAAAATGTTAGTATATTCCTTTCATTCAGATACAATACTTATTGATGGAATCCGTTAGGCCTCATTTTCTTATCCGAGGGCAGGCCATAATTTGACATTCAAATGCAACCTCTTTGTTATTTTCCATACCATTAAGCCGTGCAGTTATTCAGCAGTCTAACAAATAGTTACTCTGTAATTGCTTCTGGTACTTTGTGAATTGAAAGATCCGTTTGCAGAACTGGGAAATGTTTGTAATTTTTTTGCAGAAGTATCATATTTTGTTTGCTGTATTTGCATGATACTGTCTTGTCTGAATGCACAGACAGATCAAAAGGGCTTGGAAAGGCAAAACGAGATTGGAAAAGCAAAACATCTCCTCAACAGTAGTTTAGAGCTGGGAAGAGGGTCTCTTCTACCACAGCCCTGCTTATACGGAAAATCAAAATACACTGTTGTGTTTAAATTTAGCCATGTGTGAGAAGGGAGGAAAAGTTATCCGCTGCTGCAATGTGACTGAGAACAGTCAGTGAGCTGTAGTTTTGTCCTTGAGGGAGCAGGGGATGCTCAAACTACCCCACCTCCACCCCAGAGCTGGAACGGCACGGGAAGCACAGGCCACCCCCACCCCTCACGTCACCTTCCCAAACCCCAACTGCCCACAAACAGAAGGGTTTCTGAGTATTATAAATCACTTTGAATGAGGGTCTCCCTTTAATCACAACCTTTATGTTTTGAAAAATCCACCTCAATGTCACAACTTCCTATTCATTTTCACGGGCCCCCAAAAAGAGAACACTAGAAGATACAGCAGATACTGGATGTAGCAGGTGACACGAGTGCTCATCACACGTAACCTACATACTGCATACGGGAGTGATCAGCCTGCATGAGAGGAAACAGAAGGAGGGCTATTAAGGTGGGGAGAACAAAAGGATGGGATGAGGACTGGGAAGAGTTAGAAGGGGCATCCTAATCAGAAACTGTAGAGCTTTTCAATAATTGAGTAGCGATTACGGGTACTTGTCTCTTGTCAGAAGCTCTGGATGCAAACAGCATGTCCTTAGAGACTGTTCTTCTGCATATCTAATTTTGACCACAGTGAGCTTTATATTCATAGTGACACATAATCAAGATATATGTGACACATCAATATGAGTAAACAAATACATAATTCAAAATAAATTATTAGTAGAGCTGCTGGAGCGGGTTGCATTGGAAGCTGCTACAGTCGCGTCAGGTTTATGACAATGAAAACAGTTCTGTTTTATTCACAGATCCTAAGTAAATCCTTAAGGGAAAAGACAAAAGAAAAAAGTGCATTGCCAACATCTTTCCACCCACACATCTATCCAGAGACCAAACCGAAACAAATGCTGATGGAAAACAACCTGTATTTCTGATACAGTACTGTGTTATTGAGCCTTATTTGTCCCTAATAAGGAGGCAAGTCAGGCTGCAGTTTGCAGTTATGTCACTTTCAGTAAATGAACTGTTACATGTCAGTGGTGAACTCTTATGAGTGCAAAAATTAAAAATACAGTTTAATTTATAGCAACTGATAGCAGTGGACTTATAAACTATAAAGAAAGGCAAACCGGAAAGGTTTGAAGTTACACAGTTACATTTTTTGCAATAATCAATACAAATTTTAAAAAAAAGCAACAGCAAAACAGCATTTGTAATCTCAAAACATCTGCAACTAGGAAGCACTACTCTAACAAACCCATCATTTTAGCAAAAGTCAGTCTCTACTAAAAGCTTTTGAAAAAAAGTTTTTTCCACATCCTTGTGGCAGCTCCCAATAAGAAGGAAAAAACAGAATTAAGAAAACAGGGAACCACAGAAAACCATAGGGAACCACATCTCTCTGTTCCCTTTATTATATAAATTAGCAATAATAACAGCGTGATGTGACTAGATCTCCACTTCCTGAGGATCACAGTTCCACAAACCTAATTGGGACGCCAGGTTTTCTGAGGCAGTGTAATGCCTTCATGGCTCTGAGAAAGTAACAAGTTTTCATCTCTAAATGTAACAATGAGAAAAAGTTTCTAGAAAATAATATGGTGCCATTAAGTGACAGAAAATAAACCTTAAAAATAAACCAGTGAACAGGCAGGAAGAAAACTGATTGAAGACAAGTTTCAGGACACAACAAAAGTACCAGGGCATGATTTGCTGCTGTATTGCTCAATTCCAGCTCAATCAAGGGAGTTGCACAAGCATAAAACAGTCAGGAATCTGGCCCACGCTTTAAAGCAATTATATTGTTAATATGCTAATACATCATGCATATTAAAATGTTATAAAATATTGACTTAGGTATGCAAGGTCTTATTGTCAATTATAATTAGCTATGAAATTTTATAATAACTAGCAGCAGTAATAATAACAACAAGCAGACCGATTGGGGACAAGATGCCTGGATTATTTTGATTTTTTTTTTATTTTAAATGATTTCGTGATTGAAATAAAATACTTAATAGGTCAAACGAAATCCCTCCCTTACTGATAGACAAAACATCAAAATGCTTTAATAAAGACTTCTATTAAATGAGAATTTATTATAGAAGTATTCAAATGTCATAAATTTTAGAGCTCATACTCCTTTCTGGGACTGGTTTTCTTAATATTGCAATTTAAATACTCTTATGTTTCCTTCACAGATAAAATATTGCTGGATATGCTGGATTTGAATCAGGTGTTAAGAGTTTAGCATCAAACCATTCTAACTTGCATACCTTCAGCAATAAGCAAAAAATCTCCTTACATACCAGTATGTACCTTTAAAAATTCCTCTGTTTTTCAGCCAGAAAATACTGTCATTCTTTGCTCTCCAGCAACTTGATCACAAGCTCAAAGCTCTGAGTAGAGTCTACTCTCAAAAGTAACATGCTTGAAGAAGAGTGACTAAAACAATATTCATTTAGAAACCTCTCCTCTGACCCACCCTCACGCTTCAGCCTCACGGAACAAAGAACAGAGATTTTAGACATCACATTGTGCTTAGACGTACAAGAATCACACTTATCAGACTAGATGAATACTACACAGCATTTTCAATCATATTTTCTTCAGAAATTCTAATTTGAATGTTCTAAGTGCAGATGGCCAGTTTTCAGTTGTCCAGTTTAATAACACACCCATTTTGCTACTATAACATGTATATACACCTCCAGTTTTCTGAAAGTAATTAACAAACATGCTTCATGTGAATTAATCAAGTACGTTTTTACTAATGACCCTTGTACTTTTTACTTGAATCCTTATCTGTTTTGTGCTTCAGAAAGCCTTATTCCCTTCTAAAACACCACCTAGTATCCCTATCTTTTGTGATTTAACCTTTGACTAGTGTTCTCAATTTCACTGTTTTATGTGAAATCTAGAACCAAGACATCCAGCCTGGCTTTATAATGCCCTGAAATGGGAAATAAAAGAAGTTAGACTGATCATGCAAATCTCTCTCTCCTTCTGCTTGCCATAATTATGTTTATTACCTCCTCTGACTTACTTCTTGTGCTGAATTACTCAGATCTGTATTCCCAGCTGCCTTACGTGCTTCCCTCCGAAACCAGAGGTTGCCAACTTCCATTCAGCGTCCCATACCTGAGTTTTAATGCGTACTGAGACTATTTTATGTTGAGATTGTTCCGTAAGAGCATTCCATTGAGCTGTGAAAAACACTAATGAGAAAGTTTGTGATATGTCTGAAGGCACTTTCATAGCTGAGAGCTGCAAAGAGGCTTTAGGGGACACACCAGCCCTCCAACGACCAGCGGCAAAAGCTCCGCGACCCGTTAGGATCTATGGAGTTCAGTGTAACCCTGTATTTATGAGCAAGTGAATAGGAACTACCCTACTAAATTCTGTGTTTCTGTGCAAAAATGATGGATTATCTAGTTTGAGTTCCACTAAGCCTGAGAAAAAAGGGTCAAGCGGAAAAGGTTAATATTCCTGAGCTTCTCCTGTTTAAACCTCCATAAAGGCTGATTTCCCTCTCTTTCTAAAACTTACTGAAATTTACTCAGCCCTAAATTAGACATAATTATATGATGCACCAAAGTATCTTTCTAAAATGTGAGAATTATTGCTAATAATGCCCATAGTCATTTTTACAATAAAAGGCTAAATAAAATTAAATAAATGGAAGCATGAGCAAAGGTATTCGTGGTGTTAAAAAGCACAGTGTAGCTGAAGGCTTATTCTGAAGAGTAATTATGGCTCTCTTCCTTTTT